AGACTGCTATAAATATTTTGGTGTATGTTTGGTGGACTTTTTTTCTTATCATGACTTCCTGAGGTTATACGACTAGAAAATGGAATCCCTAAGTCAAAGGGAATTGACATTTTAGTTACTTTATTTGCATAATTCCAAATTGATTTCCAAAATTGTCATACTAATTCATATACTAACTCCACTAACAATGCACTAGTGTGCCTATCTCAACACAATCCCTCCAACCTGGATTACAACCATCTTTTGTCATCTTTGCTAATTTGGAGAATGTAAAGTAAAAACTTGACTTGCATTTCTCTTAATATTACTGATTTGGTGCATTCTTTCATATGGTTGTTAATAGTTTGCAGTTCTTTTGAGGACTGTTTTAACTCCTTATTTTACTGTTGACAAAATTTAGACTCAAAGAGGTTAGCAGTGCCACCCTCCCTTTTCCCCCCCACCAAATTAAGGTCTAAGGTCATATGGCTAGAGTATAATTTCAGTAGACTAGAGTGAACAAAGCAACTCAAAATGATTAACAGAAAAATAAATCAAACCAAAAAAGATAAGAGGTCAAATTTAAGTTACTTTTTGCAATTAAAACAAGTATAGCACTTCCCCTGAGATATTTTTCTTTTGTTGTTGTTTAGTTGCCTTTGATCATAGGGTTTTCTTGGCAAAGATACTGTAGTGGTTTGCCATTACTTTAGTGGAATTAGCAAACGGAGGTTAAGTGACTTGCCCAGGGTCACACAGCTAGTAAGTGTCTGAGGCCACATTTGAACATAGGTCTTCCTGACTCCAGGCCCAGTGTTCCATCCACTGAGCCACCTAGCTGTCCCATATTTCTCTTATGCCACCCTTAAGGCTTGTTCAAAACTTGTTTACATTTGTAATTGATTGAACAGAGTCTAGTTCTTACCTACTTTACAAATTTTGATTGAATGGTACGATAGACATGTTTGGAACTTCCCGTAATTGCATTCATTGAAGGTTGGGATATAAAATCCAACACTTAAACAAGGATATTTTCCTAAGCAAACATGACAGAGAGAGTGCAGCTGTAGCTCACAGGAAAGAGCAAACAATTTGGAATTAGGTCCTAGTTTGAATCCTGGCTCTGCTATTTACTACATGTCTGACTAGGACAAAACACTCTTTCTCTGGGCCTCAGTTTCTTTGTTGATAAAATATAGGTATTGGACTATATGATCTAAAGTCCCTTCCAGATCTTACATCATATGAATCTAAAAAACAATTTAAAGTTAAATCAAAAACACATTTCAAACTCAACCTTGGCCATCATTTATTTAAAATTACAAAATTCTTAAAAATGATAAAGATCTTAAGTAGTACACAAATATTAGTCAACCGTAATATGGTAGAACTCGAGACATTTTTTTTTGCCCATTTATCCAGGTATAAACTGAATGCATTTTTCACACCTGAAAGGAAACAAGATATAGGTCAAGAACAGATGGACAGAGAGGCTCTTGCTAATGTTTTACTATGTTCTCTCATTCTGACAATTAATTTTTAAAAAATAAATGAAAATCTGCCTTCTCTCTCTCCCACCTCTCCCTACCTCCACTGAGAAAGAAAAACAAAATCTTTGTTACAAATATGTATCCTCAAGCTAAACAAATTCCAACATTGATCACGTCCTGCCTCCTCCCGCCCCCAAATGCCTCAATCTGTACCTTGAATCCATCATCTGTCAGGAGGTAGGCAGTATGTTTCATCATGAGTCCTCTGGAATCCTGGTTGATCATTGCATTGATCAGAGTCCCCAGGTCTTTCAAAGTTGTTTGTCTTTATAATATTATTATTGGATCCATTGTTTTCCTGGTTCTGCTCACTTTACTCTGCATCAGTTCATACAATCTTCCAGGTTTCTCTTTCATCATTTTTTCTTTTTCTTTCTTTTTTTTTTTTTTTGCTTTTGGTGAGGCAATTGGGGGTAAGTGACTGGCCCAGGGTCACACAGCTAGTAAGTGTCAAGAATCTGAGACCGGATTTGAACTCAGGTCCTCCTGACTCCAAGGATGGAGCTCTATCCACTGCACCACCTAGCTGCCTCTCTTTCATCATTTCTTATAGCACAATAGTATTCCATCACATTTATCTACCATAACTTATTCAGCCACTCCCCAGTTGATGGTCACCTCCTCCATTTCTAATTCTTTGCTATTGCAAAAGAACTGCTATGTGTTTGCATATACGGGTTCTATCCCTTTTTCTTTGATTCCTTTGGGGTATAAACATAGTAGTGGTATCATTGTGTTAAAGGGTATATCTGGCTGGACCAACTCAGTTTCATTAAGAGTACATTAATATATCTGTTTCTCCATAGCCTGTCTAGAATGTGTTATTCTCCCCTTTTGTCAACTTTGTCAAACATACTGCCGTGAGGAAAAACCTGAAAGTGATTTTAGTTTTCATTTGTCTAATTATAGTTTTAGAGTATTTTTTTAAAGATGCCTATTGACATCTTGAATTTCTGCCTCTGGAAAAAGGACTGTTTATATCCTTTGCCTATTTATCAACAGGACCCTTGATAAACAGGCTCTTATTCTTATAAGTGTAAATCAGTTCTCTATATATCTTAGAAATAAGACCTTTATAAGAGAAACTTGCTACAAAGATTTTTTTCCAATTTACCCGACTCTCTTCTAATTTTAGCTATGCTGCTTTTGTTTGTGAAAAACTTTTTTTAATTTTTAATTTTCTGTAATTAAAACTGTGCATTTTACCTCCTGTGCTTCTCTTTACCTCTAGTTTAGTCATAAATTCTTTCCCTATTTATAGACTGGACTGGTAATTTATTTCTTGCTTCTCTAATTTGTTTATAATGTTAACCTTTATGTCTAAGGCATGTATGCATTTGGAGCTTATGTTGGTATATGGTGTGAACAGTCCTTACCTACTTTCTATCAGACTACTTCTCAATAGTTTTTGTCACATAAGTTCTTACTCCAATAGCTAGGATCTTTGGCCTTTTATTAAACCACTAGGCTACTATGCTAATTTGCTTCTTGTTACACTGATTAACTTTTCTGTTTCTTAAATAGTATCAAATTATTTTGATGATTACTGTTTTATAGTATGGTTTGAAATCTGGTACTGCTAGGCAAATCTTTTGCATGTTTTCACTTTTTTCATTATTTATATTGAGATTGTTGACCAAAAGTTCCTCCAGATAAACTGTGTTTTTAATTTTCTAATTTGTTATAGCTCTATAAAGTAGTGGTAGTTTGATTGGTATGGACTGAATAAGTAAATTAATTTAGGTAGTATTATCATTTTTATTATATTGGCTCCGCCTACCCATGAACAATGTTTCTCCAATTATTTAAATCTGTTTTTATTTGTTTAAAGAGTATTTTCTAGGTTGATTCATAGTTCCTTTGTGTGTCTTGGTAAGTAGACTCACAAATATTTTACACTTTCTTGCTAATGTTCCCCATTCTTACAATAAACCAACTGTGTTTACCTCAGGGGCAAAAAGCAATGTTCTTTTCATGCGCCCTTGGCATAAACAAAAAAATTTTGTTTTCTGAAAGATTTTAGAATTACAATTTCCTCAAATAATAAACTGCTCAGTAAAGTTTGCCCCCCAAGAAAGAGAAGTTAGGTCCCAATTTCTCTGGCTCTTTAAATGTAGGACATCATTTCCCAGCCTTATATTCACTTGTTTCATCATCTCCTTTTCTGTAAAACTTTTTTTTATTATTTTTATCAAAAACTATTTTGAGATAAATATCACATCCCCAATAGTACTTACAGACAAGGATTTACATTAAAATTCCTAGAAGAGATGCTGCACGAAGGTCTTGAAATACCAAACTGAAAATTATATTGTCAGGTATCCCAGAGATAAGCAGGCGTTCCCCAAAATATGCCCTGCCAGTTGTTTAATAGCATGATTATAGCCCGGGGCAAGAAATTAAGAACTGCAATTTCTATTTCTGCCTCACAACTCTCCCCTATCATATTTTCACAACCCTTTCATTTCTTTTCAATTAACTAACCCCACTTATGTTCCAAGCACTGTGATAAGCATTAGACACTGCGCAAAACTCAATTATCCTAACCACTAACCCAATCTATACTAACCTCCTACCTCTCCTTTCTCCCTCAACATACCCTAGGATCTCTCATTTTAATTTGATTTTTGGAGCACTTCTGTTCATCTCCCTTACAAATATTTCTCTCTCTCTCGTGTGTCTATGTATATTCCCTCCTGAACCTTCTATCTTCAGACTGCATCTCGCCCTAACCCCTCTGATTTCTGTCTTCAACGGACTATTAATTCCCGCTTCTCCAAAATTTGGGGAAGTGAAGTCAGTAACTCGGTTGGAGGTCCTACAAAGGACCACGCTTCCTCTTTCCCCTTCCCACCTCACAAATCCATCTTCTTACCTTCTTACCAACCTGTCAACCTGCCATTTCTTAATGGGCAGTAAGCACGTTGCTTTTTTAAATGATGTCCTTCTCCATCCCTCAGTCCCGTGCGCCTACATTTTCAGTCTGCTCCCCTCCTTCTCGCTCCATCACCAGTTCCATTCCCAGCCGTCCCCACTTTCAACCCGCTCCTGCCCGTCCCCCCTCCCTGTTCGTCAGCGCACGGTGACGCCATCCCGCCGCTCACGCAACCCCACCCCCTGCAGAGCCCCGGACTCGCTCAGGATCGGCCGGTTTCCCTCAAACCCGGAATGTGAGGCCCTCCGCCCGGCCCGTCCCTCTCCCTTCCCCTTCCCTCCCCCTCACCCGCGCCCGGCACCGGTCGTCCGCCCCTCCCCGGATCGCTCCCCCGTCCCCCGGGGCCGCCCTCAGCCTCCCGCTGTGGGCCGAGTCCTCCCGCGTGACTGCCGCCGCCCAGCCGAGTCCTTCGGGGCCAGGGGAGGAGCTCGGCACGGAGGGAGGCGGGGGCCGGCGGCGGCGGCGGAGGAGGAGGAGGAGGCGGCAAAGGCTGAGACAGCGGCAGCCCCCTGGAGGAGCAGGAGCAGCCGCCGCCGCAGGCGCAGGAGCAGCCCCGACGGCCCCGGCCCCGGCCGCAGCAGCGGCAGCAGCTGGGGGAGGAGGAAGAGAAGGAGAAGGAGGCAAGGAAGATGGCGGCGGTGGAGCTGGAGTGGATCCCAGAGACGCTCTACAACACCGCCATCTCTGCAGTAGTGGACAACTACAGCCGCTCCCGCCGCGACATCCGCTCCTTGCCCGAGAACATCCAATTCGATGTTTACTACAAGGTCAGTGTCACGGAGGCCCGGGCCGCACCGCACCCCCTCCCTCCGTGCTGTCCCCTGCCCTCTCCTAACCCCCCCCCCGTGCTGCAGCCGTACCCCTTCCTGCGCACCCTCCCCCCTACCCCGTGCTTACTTACCACCTACCCCTTCCCGCTCATCCCTGCACCCCCTGCCCCGTCCTCTTCGTCCCCACCAGCGTTGCCCCCCTCCCCCGGTCCATGCTGTTCTTTTCGCTTGCTACTTCCCGCTCCTCCTGCTTATCCCCACCCCTTCCTGCTCACTCTCCCCGCTCCGGTGCTACCCCAGCCCCTTCCTCACCTCCCCGAGCTACCCCTCCCTGCGGCACCTCTGCCCCTTTCTTATCCTCCTGCTCCGTGCGGATCCCTCCCCTCCGCGTTCTGCCCACCGCTCTGTGCTGACCCCCTCCCTTCAATCTGCACCCCTCCCCCAACTTTCCTCTCCTGCACCCCCAGACCCCGCTGTGTATTTCTCTCTCACCACTCGGCTCTTTACCACCCCGATCTCCCGGGCCGCCTCCTGGGCCATAGACCCGTTGTTAAGTCCATCTTGGCTCGCTTTCGAGGCTTCTTCTCCAGCTCCAGGGCCCCTTAGTTTTCCTTGGGGACTTCCTTGCATCTTTTCCCTCCCCCTCGTTCCGTGTCCCTTGTAATATTTCCGGGACCCCCACCTCCATTCTCGTCTATCCTCATCTCCAGCTGGACTTCACCGCTCCATTCTCCTTCCTCTTCGGCGCCCATTCCGTCTGGGGTTCCTTCTCTCTGTGTGGGGCGGCGGGGGGGAAGGGGGCGGGGTAGTTAAAAGGCTCTACACGTCTTATGTGAAAATAATTTTCAGCTTTGACTTGCACCTCTTGATCTATGTTGAATATTCGTACCCTTTGGTAAGAGGCGTAGATTAGGAGAGGGATCAACTGGTGGGAAGAGAGAGGGCCAAGGGAAACAGGCCTAAACTGCACTGCCTTGAACAGTTTAGACGATACTGGTGTAGTTTTACTTTGTTTTTTATAGAAAGGGAGGTCTTTGCGGCTTGGGACGGTGTTTTTTGCCTTTCTCGATAACTGCCATTACTTTGTGCCCCATACGAGCTTGTTGATTGATTGTTCCTAAGTCTCTTCTCACCTTCCCCCCACCCCACCAATTTTTGCTTCTTGAATTTAAGGCTAAGTGCCCTAAGGCAAGGACGTTTTTGCCTTTTATTGTGGAGAGACTGCGGAATCCCAGCCTATGTCCTTTTTCTTTTCTTCCCAAATTTAAATGTGAGCACTGTCATCTTACTGTGATCGTTACAGTGCAAGTTAATAAATGCGTTTGTCATACATCCATTGACTTTTTTTCTCTCCTGTGGTATTTAACCATATTAATTTGTGGGAAAATGTTGTTTTATATCCTAAGTTTTTCACTCCTATGATCTTAATTTCTTAGTTTTCTAAATCAACCTATCCCATATTGATAAGTACTTAATTGATAAAGAAAAAGTGCGGTGGGTTTTGTTTTGTTTTGTTTTTCCCTGTCTGTAGTCTCCTTAGGTACTATAGCTTTCTCCACCCCCTTAATGTTGCCATTAATTAGCAACTGGCTCGCAACATTCTGCTAAATTCGGTTGCTTTCTGCCACAAAGATAAGTTTTTCTAAATATTTGACAGTTTCATTTTGGTCCTGTATAGTAGCACTTTTTTCATGCAGTATGTGCTCTTCTTACTCATCTTTAACAGTTTCTATTTGTACAGCTAAAGAAGTTTGGGATGGTTAACTCCATATTCATGCAGTGATTACTTATATCTAGATTTTTAGCTGACTATTTCTTCCTTAGTCATTTTATTGACCTGTTACCAATTTAAAATATTTTTTTTAATTACCCATCTTTTCCCACCAAAGGGATGTGTGGATGCGTGGGTGTGTGACCAATAATTGGAAGTCTCTAAAAATATTTGGTTGTATACTGTCAGCCTTCAGTAGTTAAAACTCTGTTGGTGAGAAAATGCTACCTTTATACATGTAGTTTACAACTCAGCTCTTGTGGATAAATATTAAATTTTAAGTCAGCATTCTGAGATAGTAAATTACCTTAAGAGGCATAACACTACCTTTTAATTAGATCTTATCGTCCTTTAGTTTTCATTGCATTTGGTATCCCTGTGGATTGAAGAAATCTGAGACCTTCTGTCTACAGCCTTTGAGACTAGCATAGCAATGGAGACCAGACCTGTATTTTCATTGGTGGAGGGGCTGCCAATGAATTAGAGGCCACTTTAGTTGCCTACAGGACCACGACTTTCCCCAAATCACTGGGTGTGTCAGGGCTTTAATCTGATAAAGACCCTGGGGATGTTTCTTTCTATTTTAGTTCTCTACCTACTTTGCACCCTTTTAAAACATTTTTGAAGAACTTGGGAATTGTAACCATTTCAGTTACACACTCAATCCTGTTTTCATTAGTGTGTACTTTATTTGGTCATTTTCTGGTAACTTCTTCAGATAGTATTTGTGGGATTAGTAATTTAATAATCTTCTTAGAGGTACAATTTAATGTGACTTCTTTCTAGCTGTGATTTCATGTTTGTTTACTTTCTTGATATAGCCTACTTCTGTAATTATTGATGGTCTATTAGGAACAGGGTTTAAACGAGTTAAAGTCTGCAGATTGGTTATAAAAATAATAGTGTGCAAAAGTTTTAAATACTAGTGTCTGTCCTGAGTTTTAATAAGTAGCACTTATTAAAAATGGTGTGTCACCTTAAAAGAAGTGTAGTTCTGTTTTAGACTAGAATTTTAGTGCTCTGTACCTAACAAATCCATCTCTTATGAAATTAAGGTATTGAAAATTCCATTATTAGGAGGCTGAATTAAGGAGGAGAGAAAAGTAAGGGACTTTGTATAGTAAAACCTTAGCTTCTGGAACAATACTTATATTGTCTATATACATGCATGTACACATGTACATATGAAAGGTTTGGCTCGTACAACTGCAAAACTTTTAATTTTTAAATTTAAAAAAAAATCATTCTTTTATGCTTCAGTCATTTCCTGATGGCCTCTTTCACTCCTCCATTGTAGAAACTTTCCCTATAACAAACAGTTAAGACAGTCCCCTGCCTCTTTGCGGAGAAGAGGAATGTTTCCACTGTTCTCTCAACACTAAGATTGAACATTAATTTTTCTGTTATAGTTGCACTTACTCTTCCGGTTCTGCTTACTTCACATTTCATAACTTTGGTTACATATGGGACTTTTCTCTCTCTGACTTCCTTGGTCAGTACCTTCGAACAGTTAGGTGACTTTTTTCAATTAATTATAAAATTTGCAAAATTACAACTGTTGTTGATGGTAGTCACTTAAAAGTGTTTAAGAGGGGTGATTAGAAATAGGCTGGTCAAGGTTAAGAGTTTTGTTTGGGATTTGAAGATGCTTGAAGACACCATTTACCTAGTGTGAATATCTCTTTGACATGCCATAGGTATTTAGGAGTGTAGATTTAGAGATGCAAGGGACCTTACATGTTACATGTATAGTCCAGCCTTCCCCTTGTTTTACAGATAGTTTAACAAGAGGTCCATATAGGGAAAATGACTTACTTAAGGTAACACAGGTAGTAATTGGTAGAGTTAGTATTTAAACCCAGTTTCTCTGATTCCTAAACCACTACTTTTTACTGTACAAGTTTTTTGATGTAATTACATTTAAGATGATTCAATCTTTTTGGGGGGGGTGGCTAGGCAATGGGGTTAAGTGACTTGCCCAGGGTCACACAGCTAGTAAGTGTTATGTGTCTGAGGCTGGATTTGAACTCAGGTCCTCCTGAATCCAGGGCCAGTGCTCTATCCACTGTGCCATCTAGCTGCCCCAAGATGATTGAATCTTGATATTTGGAGGGATGATTGATTGAATGATGACTGGATCTGAGCTCTGGAGTAGTATGACAATAGGAACCAAAAGTAGACCAGAGCTGAGAATAAGAATAAAAGAGGGAGCGTGGGGCCTGCTTTTCTTGATAGACTTCTCCAGGAAACCCTTTTGCCACAGACACGGCAAGCTGTGGAGAGCCAGTGGCGAAACATCTTAAGTAATTTTTGGAAAATGAATTGAAGAAGTCCTTGAAATATGCCTTCTTGAAGTAAAAGTAGTACTGACACTGGAGTTCTTACACATACCAAACCTTCTGGAGAAGTCTCTACATAGAGAAGCTTAAGAGTGCTAAAGGTCAAGGATGTAATAAAAATAAAGGATATGTAGAGGAGCAAACCTAGATCTTGCCAACCACAGCTTTTGTGAGATACATAGAAACATAGCTATATAAATAAAGCATTATTAGGCATTAGGCATTGTGCTGAATTCTGGGAATACAAACTATGAGCAAAGACAGTACAAAAGGGAGCAGCTGAGAGCAGGAAGGTATAAAAGTGAGCCATATGGGAGCTACGATGGGTTATGCAGGTCTATTAGGAAGGGGGATAGGGTGACCCTTGAGCTGCCTGAAGTACAAAATCCTTTCATTTCATATTGATATTTCCATGTTTCTTCATGCGCTTCATAGTTATTATTTTATGACATTGCAGTTACATGAACAGAGCACATGTTAGCTACATAAAATAATGTAGTTATCATATTTTTTCTATAGAGAGACCCTCTTTTCCTTTTCTCATGCCAGGATGTACTAGAAACTTTTTATTGATTCCACAGGGTCATTATCATAAGCATAACATAGTGAGTCTCTTCAGGCTGTTTTGTCTTATAAGGTTGCTTGCCCTTTCACTGAATGCCCCCATTATTCTATGATGTTTTTGTCAGCTATCACTTCTTCTCCCTTCTAATTTGCTTTAGGTATATTAGTAAACTTGATACTAGGCTTGTTAGAATTGGATATAAAATAAGACTGGATTTCTAGTAAAGATTCATTGGATTTTGCCTAAACTTTCAGGACATGGACTTTGATCTATATTAATTTCTCAGGGTCCTATTTTTGCATACTTGGTTAATATCAGTAGT